ATAATATGGGGCTACACCAAAACGGGGACCTGCACAGACAATTTTCTGTCATAGGCTGTAGTATCCATTACGAACATAAAATACCAAATTTGAAGCAATTCCGGTGAATAATGTCGCTAAAATCATCAAAGTGCCGCTATATGGGGGCTAAAAAGAGGACGTGGACCTGCACAGACAATCTTCTGTCATAGGCTGTAGCATCCATTACAAACTTCAAATGCCAAATTTGGGGAAGTAGAGTGATTTCAACAGACGGGCGGCCATCGCTAAATCGACATAGAATTTTATGGTGATCAAGAACATATATATTTTATGGGGTCTAAAATGTATATTTCGAGGTGTTACAAACGAAATGACAATCTTAATATACCCTTAATTTTAATTGCGATTCAAATTTCATTTGTTTTTCAGTATTTCCATTTCCATGCAAACAACGTTGACTTAAATTCGGAATTTCCATTTGGAATTCCAAATACGTCAATTGGAGCTTAGAATTGTCACATTACTGCGTTACCTAAAATTCGACGAAGCGAACAAAAACATTCATTCCACAATGGTAAAATATTTTGTACATCCGTATTACTCTTGGTAGAATTAAGAAGGTAGGTAAAGTCCATTGTAGAATTAAGAATGAAAAGTCATGCAATCATATGTTTACAATTTTTTTCAAAATTATTCATTACAAATCATAAATGGGAACCTGCTTTCTATGCAGTGAAATTTGACAAGGTAAATTACAGAATATGCAAAGATGGGAATGCTTATTTCATCGGTTCACTCAGTCAAATACCTCCCCCCCAAAGGGTCAACATTTTAAAAAATTATATAAAATATATAAATTTATATAAGAGTTCGATCGTCTTCAAATTTCACACATCCCAATATTTTTATAAACCTAAAGCCAGGCGTTAATTGTCGATATTTTGAAAAAAATATATATTTTACTGCACAGAAAAAGGAAGGATAATCCGATTTTGCTCGAACTTTGCAAATCCTAATATTTACATCAGTGCTAGGTCAAGTGCGAAAATGGACATAATCTGTCCACTCCATCAAGTACCTCCCCCATTAAGGGTCAACATTTAAAATAATTCTAAATCTTCAAAAATGTGATGTAAGAGTTCCATTGCCTTAAAATTACACACATCAGAATATTTTTACTATTAGTGTGAAGATGGAATATATCGGTCCACTCCTTCTTGTACCTCCCCAACAAAGGTTCAAAATTTTGAATATCTATGAAGTTCATAAAACGCCATATTAATATCAGATTCTATTCAGGCTTGGCAAATCTCAATATTTCTATTAGCTCAAGATCTGTTATAAAGATGATAGAGATGGGACTTCTCCTTCTGGTACCTCCCCAACAAAGGGCCGAAGTTTTGAAAATCCAAAACGATTATAAAATGCGAAAAAAGCACCCGGTTCTCTTTATATTTCACACATCCCATTATTTTTACTAACACAATATCTGCTGTCCTTCTGGTACCTCCCCAACATTGGGTCACAATGGGTCACAATTTCCAATATATAAGTCATAAATAAGTCGGCGATTCTATGCAAGCATGCTTTATCTAATTATTTCTCTTAACCAGAAATTTGATATGAATATGTAATTAATCGGAATTTATGACTTCGCATAAATTTGGATATAAATGTTCGATATCCTTGAAATGTTTTTACATACCAATATTTTTATCTGTATTATATGAAGTGGAATATTTCCGTCCATCACGCATACTTTCACATTTTCCAAAAATTTATAGCTGATATAAAGTATTGGAAGTAATATCGTCCAAATACGATTCGTTGTAATATTTATATCAGACAGTAATAGCCAACTGCTTCGGAACCTCCCTGTAAGGGGTCAACAGTTTGAATAATCAAAACTCACGGCTGGGGTATACATCTGCCGGCAAAACCGACAGATACTATTTAACTTGTTTTTTTTTTATTTTAAAATTTTATTGAATGAAAACAAAAAATGTCGGAAAGAGCGAAGCGGTTGCTGGAAGCGATCGACACTTTGATATTTTTTAGTGCCAACCTTGCTTTCCAAAATACTCCAGACACAATAGTTCAACGGATTGGTATCCGTAGATTTTGGTGATCATTGAGCGCTGGAAATGAAGCGAGGAACCTCATTTTTAATACACCCTCCATAATATTTTCGCGATAATATTCGGCATTTATTTTGATGCAACGGTCGATTAATACGAGCGGAGAGCGACCATCGGCTGTTATGGCGGCCCACACTATCACCATGGCCGGCGGAACCGAAGGTGCACATTTTCAGCTGACCTCTTTGGCAAGTTAACACGATCATTTTGTTTGTTTACAAACTGCTGGACTGGAATGCTGGAATGTTTTCTCATCGGAGAAACCCAAACTCGACAGTTCACCACTTTCGGCCAAGCGAAGCAACTCTTTAGCTCTTTTGAGTCTATTTTATTTCTGTTGCGGGGTAAGTTCTTGCTCTTTTTGGAATTTCAATGGCTTTACCACCCCGTGCTCATTTTTTAATATTTGCCGAATGGAATATTGCGATATGTTCAGCTCACGAGCCATTTTTCGGTCACTGCGACGCCGGTTTAGATCATATCGCTTCTTTTTTTTCGATCCTTTTCGGCTGATGTTGTTGTTTTCTTCTGTCCATAGCCACTTGTTGTCTACCAGTCAAATATAAAGAAATCACACTATCACGCTTGAATTTCATCACGAATAACTTTTTTCTGGAAAATTCTCACCAAAATGGTTTTGTACGCTTGTAAACAATATAATGAGCTGTCACTGGAATAATCTTAACAACTGTCGGACGAGTGGCTTAGAAATGACAGCATTCTGAAGTTGTTTGCAGTTTTTTCATCTCACCCTGTACAGATCCCAGAGCCGGTGAATTGACAGAGAAGGTCATTCGGATGCTAGAGGAGCGTAAAAGAAAACGTGGCTAGGCCATTAGAAGTTTTGCTACCTTGGAAAAGGTATGAATAAAGAGTGGGTGACGATTAAAAGGCTCTCGAGGCCTGAAAAAGGATATAGGGCCTCGGTTATGTTTAACAACGTAACGTTGGTTGATCCGAAAAGTTTAGCTGGTTATTTTAACCACCAATTTGATAGAGAAATCGAAGCATACTAGTTCGTATTAAATGACATTCCGCCTAGGTGGAACCATCTTTGGGAAGGTCTTAGCGACTTCTCTAATTTCGTTCGACGAAAATTTGAGCATCTAATTATTCTGCCATTAACTAACTACTGACTACAATTATATTTTTAATATTTCCCCGACGTATTTAGGTTTTCCCCTCCAGATACGATTTAATTACAAGTCTGCGTAGATCGCTATGTTGCTGCCGATTAAAGATTTAAGCTACCCTAAAGCCGTAATTTGCTTTTGTCATATGCTGTAGTACATATTAAGATCTTTGAATACGAATTTTGAAATGATTCCGGTGAATAATGTTGCTGAAATCGTCAAAATACCGACTATCGAGAGGTACCGTTATATGGGGGCTATACGAAGACTTCGACTTGTATACAAAAATTTTTGTCATAGGCTTAAGTACCCATTACGAACTTTAAATACGAAAGTTTAAATAATTCCGGTAAATAATGTCGCTAAAATAATGAAATTACCGAATATCGGAGGGTAGCATTATATGGGGGCTATACGAAAACGTGGGCCATGTCTGCCCTGCCTACTGGTAAACTATGCATGTATGCAAAATTTTAGGCTTCTATCTCAATTCGTTCGAAAGATAGCGTGACTACAACAGACATACGGACATCGCTAGATCGTCTTAGAATTTTACGTTGATCCAGAATATAGATACTTTGTAGGGCCTATTATTAATATTTCGAGGAATTACAGACGGAACGACAAATTAATATACCCTCCATAGAATGGTGGAGGGTATAAAAGCAGCTAAATTCGGCTGGGCCGAACTTTTAATACCCTCCACCACCTGGAAGCAACTTGGAAAATGTCCAAAAATAAAATCCGAAAACTATAATTTAAATGAAACCCGTTGTATGGAGACTATACGAAGACGTGGACCTGCTTACGAAATTTTTTGTCATAGGCTGTAGAACCCATTGCGAACTTCAAATACGAAATTTGAAACAGTTCCAGTAAATAATGTTAAAATATCGAATATCGGGAGGTACCGTTATATGGGCGAAATACGAAAACGTGAACCTGCACACGAAAATTGTTGTTATAGGCTGTAGTACCCATTACCTATCCATTAAATACGAAATTTGAAATAATTCCGGTAAATAATATCGCTAATATCATACAAATTCCGAATATTGGAAGGTACCGTTATATGGGGGCTATACGAAGACTTGGGCCAGCATATTAATTTTTTCCTATAGGCTGTAGTACCCACTTAGATCATCCAATACGAAATTTGAAATGATTCCGGTGAATAATGTTGCTGAAATCATCAAAATTACGAACTTAACCTGCCTACTGATAAACTATGCGGGTATGCCATCTCAATTCGTTCGAAAGCGTGATTACAACTGAAATCGCTAGATCGTCTTAGAATTTTACGCTGATACAGAATATATGTACTTTGTAGGGTCTATTATAAATATTTGGAATGGTGGAGGTTATAAAAATGACAAAATCATACTGAGATGATTTAAGAACAATGTTGCTTTGTAAGTTATCACTAAATTGTTTATTGATTTGATGGAAATATATGAACTGTTGAATCCATTTTTCCAAATTTTTATATAACCAGAGGGTTGTGGGGTATCTAATAATCGACAACACCCATCTTTAATCTTTTCCTAACTAGTTATGCAATATGTGTGGGTTTCAATTTTGGGGAGATTCAATTACATTTTGGGGATTTTGGGGGCAAACTGATTTCATATTTGGCGACACAAAGACAGAAAAATACTGGCAACACTGATTTTCATGAATGATTCCTAAATCTCTGCCAATATTCGTTGTTTAAAATACTTCTCACTTTGGCGTTCTCAGCCAAACCGTGTGCGCCTCTTGCTGAGTACGGACGTGTCGCGAATGCTCTGACGACGTGAGTGTTTCCCCAACGAGACGACCGACCATTCCAAGTCAACCCGACAACGAAGAAAGAAAAAGTGTTTGAAAAATATTCTGTGTTGTAAACTTGTTGCTAATACAAAATTGCTAACTAATCGGTCCGTTTGTTATTAAACACAATTCGATACGTCAATAATCAATCCGAGTGAATAGAAAAATATTGAAAAAAATTCCTAATAGCTTTGCTATGATGGCAAACAAATGAAAGATGCCCACAGAAAAAATGTATAATTAATGCGATAATACAAAAAAGTTGTTTTTTTTTTGATACCATAAAAAGCAGCAGATGAAATAGAGAATGAGAGATGACTTTTTATAGTATCCAACAACGAGTCCAAAGGAGAGCAAAGAGAAACAGGTAAACCCAACAGCAGCAGCAACAACTGTCAACAAGAAAATACTCGACCCATGTTATGGGTGCGTGTATGTGTGTGTGTGTGAGGCCGAATGGCATTCTGCAGTTATTTGTTTATCACGAAGTGGGGGAGGAAGGAGTGGGTGTTGTTTCGAGAAATTTAGTTTCTCGATAAGAACGAAACAAACGAACGATGCTGCCATGTAACAGCAAACAAGAGCGTGTGAGCGAGCGTTAAATAGTTACCACTTACCGCTACTTTCATGTGTAACTTGCCGAACAAGCTCTTTGTAGCTCATCCATCCAGTTGTGATAAGAAGCGGAAATGGTGGTAGCTTTGCAAAGATGCATCCTCGTTTGTTCAAAACAAGTGAACCGAGTACCTACCTTCCTACCCCCACCTGGTTACCTATTGACTTTCTCTTCGTTATCAGTGTTGCTACTGGCAATGGTCACAGGCACTCGCTGAAGAATGTTGCTGTTGTCCAAGAAGCCCCTACATTAGCAACCATATATGTATGTTTGTATGCCGTGTGCTGTGCATGTTCATACATATGTATGTGTGTATGTATGTTTCTGTCTCTCTATGCAATGACAGTGCCTCGAATGTTTTTATAAACAAAAACAAATGAAAACAAATAAATGCAATGTTGTTGTGACCACATTTTTAATGCCATAAAGGAATGGTGGGAGGGGAGTTGGGCAAGTGGGACGTAGTAAATTGCAATGACTTCACAGACGGCCTTCTGTTTATAAGTCAGCGTGGATCCAATAACTTGTACCTACATGGTCGTATGTATGTACATACATGTACATATGTAAGGGATTTGGTGTTGGTAAGACGACAAACATAAATACGAGGAAAGTTTCGCATTTGCTGGCATTCGTTTTACTTCGATAATGTCTTCCCCAAAAAGATTCCTACGCTATGAAAATGATATTCTGGATGATAGTTTCTTAAGTTTTTTGATTTAAAATTAGCAAATATAAGTTCTCCGTTTTTTGAATTTTTGTTAGCTATTTTTTTTTTAACCCTCAGCCCTACGGTCCCATTGTGCTCATCTAAATAACGGTTTAAGACCTTGAGTATCTTTGGACGATATCCGTTTTAGTAGTTAATCTCGCAATACCCCCTCCAACTCCGATTGTTCAAACTTGGTACGATGTAATATTTATATACCCTCCACCTTGAAAAGGAGGGTATATTAAATTTGTCATTCTGTTTGTAACACCTCTAAATATTGTCATATACCAAATAAAGTATATATAGTCATGATCAGCATAAAATTCTAAGTCAATTTAACAGTCCGTCTGCTTGTCTGTCCGTCTGTCTGTTGAAATGACGATAAAGCTCACGTTGTAGCACGACGTAGAGCTTTAAAATTTGGCACTGTTGTTTGCTTTGTTTCCAGGGTGGTTGGTATTGAAAATGAGATATATCGGATCACTCTACCTCTCGATATTCGGTATTTTGATAGTTTTAACCACATATTTCCACCAATTTGTCTAGAAATTGGTATTTGTAGTACGTTATGGGTTTTAGCTCTAGTGGCGGAACATTTTATATATAGATTCACGTTTTCGGATAGCCCCCGTTTAACAGTACCTCCCGATATTCGGTATTTTGAAGATTTTTGCCACATTTTACCACGGGTTTATCTAAAACATGGTATTTTTTGTTTGTAATGGGTTCCCGCTTCGGTGACAGAACATTGGCTATATAGGTCCGCGTTATGGTATAGCCCCCATATAACGGTACATCTCGACATTCGATATTTTGATGGTTTTAGTCACATCTATCCACGGATTTGTTTTAGCTCAGGTGGCAGAATGTTGACTATCTAGGTCTTTTTCTATAGCACACATATAACGGATTCCATTGAATACTCGGCATTTTTACGATTTCACGATTTGTGTGAAATTTGATATTTGTGCTTCAAAATGGGTTCTATAACCAACGCACAACATTGTCCATATTGGTTCTAGTCATCCTAGTCACATTTATCCACGAAATTATGTACAATTTGGTATTTAAGACTCGCAATAGATTACAAACGCTCTAGTATAAAATTGTCTATATAGGCTCCCGTTTTAGTATGACCCCCATATAACTCCTTCCGATCTTACTGGTGTTTGTAGTTTAAAGTGGAACACGTTTGACTCCAGATACTATTGTATAAAAATGTTTCCTTTACCCAATGATGGAGGATATTAGAAGTTCGGCCCAACCGAACTTAATGTCTTTTTACTTAGTAACAATCTTTATTTGAGTTCGGAGATGGGCAATATTGGTTCACTCTTTTTTCATAAAAGAATTATAAATTTTGCACAGAAAAAATACAAATTTCATATTGAGCGATGGTAATATCCGACATCGTTCAGCTGACAATATTGGCCAACTCATTTCTGTACCTCACCCAAAAAAAAAAAAATTAATTAATTTCCTGTATTCTTCCAGTATTATTGGATATTGAATATAGACATTTTTAGCTTGTTTTTTAAAATACTCCAGAATTAATTTTATAATCAAAAAAAAGATAAATAAATAAGTAAAAATCTATATCTATAAAAGAGGAAAATGTTTGTATGTTTGTTTGTAATTTATGGACTCGAAAACCACTGAACAGATTTTCCAGAAAATTTCCATGGATACTGCAACATCGCCTGAAAGTAACATAAGCTATATATATTTTTGAAATTCCACTTGGAAGTGGAGATATAGCATCACAATCGGAGGTACCTCAAAAAAATTTATATTTTATATGCAAATATCTATTGATCGATTACAGATACAGTCTCCAAATTTGGAATGCGAAACGGAATTTGGAACAGAAATAAGTTTGCCAAATTATATTGTAATCGGTTCAGATTTGGATATAGCTCCCATATATATTTTCGATTGATTTCGTTCATTTGATGTCTCAAACACGATGTGAATGTTCGATTCAAATGAAATTTGGAATGTGTGACGGGATTTGATCCGAAAATAAATTTGTTAAATTATGTTGAAATCGGTTCAGATTTGGACATAGCTCCCATATATATTTTCCGCCGATTTCACATATTTGATGCACAAAACACGATACGTATTTCCGATTCCAATGAAATTCGGCATGAGTGACTTAATTTGAGTGACAGATTTGGTTATAGCTCTCATATATATTCTCGGCCGATTTCACATATTTGATGCACCCAAAGCGAGAGAGACGAAATCTGGCACCAGAAAAAATTGTCAAATTATATTGAAATCAGTTGGAGTTTGGGTATAGATAACATATATATTTCGGCCGATTTCATACATGTTATGCACCGAACACAATATATATGACCGATACCAATGAAATTCAGAATGTGTGGAATTTCACATATTTGACGCATCAATTTCAATGAAATATGGATAGTGTGGCGGAATTTGATGTAAAAGTAAATTTTTTAAAATTATATTTAAATCGGATCAGATTGGGATATGATTTTAATAAGAACCATTGACCCACAACGCCTTAGGCTAACACGAAAAAAAAAAAACATGTTGCTACCTCGAATTCACTAATTGCAATAGAAATGCCACTCAACTTCAAAAGATTGCAGTTTACTGCACGCTTGGTTTTTGCTATGAAATAAATAAATCCGAAGGACGAACCCTTCGTGTATGTATGCCATGTTACTGCTTTACTAATGGTTTTGGTTATTTACGCATTAAAGTAGTGCAATATTTTTTTTTTTAATTTTTAAATTTGTTTTTTTTTTTTTAACCAACATATATTCGTAAATAAAATTTTGAATGCATATAAAATCAAAAGGGGTAGCGAAGCGCACCGGGTTCAGCTAGTAATAATAATAAATATACATAATTGTTAGAATGAAATGGTTACACGACTAATATTTCCGGGTCCAAGAAATATTATAGCACATGTTGTAGCATTTAGAATGGTATAATTTGGCATATATTTTGTGAATCTCCATAATGATCTCGAAAAAACTTTGCTAGAAATCTCAAGCCGATTTGTATAACCCCATCAATGGACCATAAGCATTCATGTATACAATATAGTTATATTGTATACATGGGTTACTTTCCCGAAGTCGGCTTAAAAATATCTTCTTCTGGAAAACAACTCCGAGTTTTTGCTTTGCTAGAGTTGTTCAAAAAGTAAATTGTCTTTCCTAATAAGAAGTTTATCTTCCAAAAAAAGTTATGGGTTTTTATATCAATGTGTGAAATTGTGTGAAATCAATGAAATTTTCGTTTTTAATTTGTTTGTTTGTAGTTTACACACATACATATGTATCAGTCCTATTAAACTAATATCGAAATAAAGATTTGAAAAACGGTCTACACCAATTTATATTGTAGATTCCGTTTTCAATGGGCTATTTTAAATAAAAAATGTGGCTGAAACATTTGATACGGCAAAAATGTTCCATATCGAAATTGCGGTCCCATATCTTTTCGTCTCTGGCTGGCTGGTGTGCGCGATATCCCTCAAGAATTTTGGATAAATCTGGTCGTAGAAAAGAAATTTCAAACTACAGAGACATTATTTGAAAAACTGATAACAGATTCATTATCCTTTCAAAAAAATTCGATTAACAAAAATCAATCTTCTTGAATCTACTTCAACTGTAAATGAACCATTCAGATATCGCCTTCAAACGGGTTTGACATATACTGATTTTAGTAAGGAATTTGACACAGTCAATCATAGTTTATTGTTGAAATAGTTGCATTTCATCGGATTTTCTAATTAATTTATAAAATGGATAATGTCTTACCTTTTCAGTAGAGAGCAAATGGATAAATTTGGTCTTTTTGAAATAAAATTGATTTAAAATCTGGGGTTCCGCAAGTGTGTCATCTTTGTAATTTTATTTTTAATTGATTTACCAAGCGTAATAAGTCATTCACTTGTGGATAGACACAAGTCTAAATGACCCAGTATTTTATAATGTTGATTCCATTGATGAATTGGGAATTCATAAAGATCATAGACTCGATTTTAGAG